ACCAGCAGTGAGAAGAATGTTTGTTGCTGGAAAGGTCGGCGGTGTTGAATACCGTGCCAGTGAAGGTATCGAGGGGCACAGAGTGATGTCCGTAGGTGATGTTCACTTGGAAATGATAGGGGAGTGCTCTCTGTCGGCTCCTCTAGGAGCAGTGAGGGGATCTTAGGCTTAAATAAGCTCCATGAGGAGAATCGGTCTGCGGTTGCCGACGAGGTTCGAGGGGTCTTCCAGGGACCACCAGGGAAACCTGCACCGATGCCAGGACTGCTGAGGTTGACGCAGGATCGGATTCCAGCTTGAAGCGTCGAATATGAAGTGGGCAACGTCGAGGATAATTTGAGGCTGAGAAGAGATGTGGTGAAGGAAGTTTGGCGCACAAGGAAGACCGTCATAAAGCTTGGCTTCTTTATGCACCTCTTCCAATGAGCACGCTGACCGATTTCCTCTGAGGGTTGGATCAGGTATTTTCTGTAGACCAAAAGTTTTTTTTTTCTGAGGTTGGCTTTATTTATCGCGTCAGTGAGGGGCTATCTTCCTCCGCAAAGCCCCTGGTCAAATGTCCAAATTTCAAGTCTGGTCTTCAGACATGGCTCTAGGATAATCAGAAGGCGATAAGGCGTACGTTAATTCACTTTTGTAGATTAGAAAGCAAATGCCCATTTTTCTTTTTTGAAAGGAAAATTTTATTAACATGCTATTCACAATAATAAGTAAATGTGTCTTTTCAACGTTTACACAAAGCATTAGCAAACGAGTTCATCAATACATTATATAACAATCGTGGCCGGCATGGCGCAAAGGGTTTATACGGTAATTGGGTTGTGTGTGTGTGTGTGTGTGTCTGTCTGTTACTCGTCAATCTCACTTATCCAGTGTTCGTGCGTCTCACAAAGGATAACACCTACTGAAAGGCAATGAGTGGTCAGAAATTTCGAAACGTTTTTTCTGTGAAAACGCTTGTTGCAAAGCACGTGTCAAGTCCTGATGAATTGGCAAGATGTTTTGTATGTTAGTACTTACTATACCAGAGCATCAGGAATAAGACGGCACAGTCAAACAATCTACTTTTTGCTTCTTAGCAAAGCAAGCTAGCTAAACATTGTGTGCCGATTCCTATCTTTATTTTTCTCCTTCTTGTCATGTCAGAGTCTGAGCCGTTTTTAGTTAATTCAGAAGTAGAAGTGGTTGTTGAAGAGCCCAATGGCCTCCAGTTTCCTTCCTTCTGCACACGGTTTTGTGAAGGATAAAAGGCACACGTCATTCCAAAAAATGTTTGACCAGAAAAAGGTTCAGAACTAAGTGTATTTTCATACGGCAGGCATCACGTTTTTTGCAGATAGCGACGATTTTGTAGTTATGATGGTGAAAGGTAGTGCAAGTAGTCCAAATCTCAAATGTGCCCCTGATTTACATTCATACTGCGGGATTGAGAAGAGAAACGCGGGGCTATACCCCGCAGGGCGACCCCCGTATCTAGCCCTTACTTCATATCTCATGACACAAGGGATGGAAGACATAAGAACCGAACAAAGAAGGGGTTGACGGGCAAGGCGGAGAGGCCAAAATGGGGTGGCGCGGGGCCGCTAAACGAAGCGGCACAAAACTTTGCATGCTTTGTTATCAGGCCCTGCGCACAAACAGATAAGAGGTCTGATGATCTCTCGTAACCTGGGAAGACGAGAACGGACAAGAAGGTTTGCGAGAGGCATCAGCAGGAGAGGGGAAGAAACATCCTGGCGACCACCAATCTAAGCGGCCCAAATGAAGAAGAATCAAGTAAGCGGGGTGAACGAGAAAACAACAAACAACCCTCAGTGCAAGTTTGTTTTTTGTTTGAGGGCTGGGGCCCCTCCATCGCCGACCCTCTCTCTCGCATATCGCCTTTTGCTTCGCGGTGATGAATTAGTCCGCAGTTTCAGTGTCCGCTTTCAGCCCGCCAAATCTTAACGGAAGTATCCAAGTTTGGCCCCGCACTAAAAAAAACCAATAATTACAAGCATAAAGTGCAAACCCTGCGGCGGAGACGCGAATGTCACTAGAGAAGGGTTTCCATGTCAAACAAAATTGGAGGAAGACCCGTTATATACACAGTCTTCCTTCAGGTGACGCAGGAGATCCGGCACTTCAAGCTTGAAGCGTCGGAATGAAGTCAGGACAACGGAGGATCATTGAGGACTGAAGAACGAGATGATCCGCGTCGAGAAGTTGGGCTCGCGAGTTTGGCGGCACAGGAAGACCGTCTCAAGCTTGGCTTTTATGACTCTCCATATGAGCCGTGACGATTTCCTTCCTCTGAGGGTTCGGATCAGTATTCTCGGTAGCCAAACGGTTTCTGATGAGGTTTAGTTTCTCGCGTCGTGAGTCCGAGCTATCTCTTCCTCCGCAAAGCCCCTGGTCGAAATGTCAATTTCAAAGTCTGGTTCTTCAGACATGGCTCTACTGGATAATCAGAAGCGTAAGGCGTACGTAATTCCATTTTTTTGTAGATTAGAAAGCAAACTGCCCCTTTAAAGGAATTACCCTGCTATTCACAATAATACTGTCAACTGTGTACTTTTCACGTTTGACAAGCATGTATGCAAACCGCGTTCAGCAATACATTATTAACCCTCGGTGCGCATGCGCAGCAAGGGTTACGGTACTTGGGTCTGTGTGGTGTGAGTTGTGTGTCTGTCGTTACTCGTCATCTCACTTCTCCAGTGTTCGTTCGTCTCACAAAGGATACCACCTATGAACGGGCAATGAGGGTCAGAAAATTCGAACGTTTTCTCTGAAAACGACTCTGTTGCAAAGCACGTGTCAAGTCCTTGAGATTGGCAAGGATGTAAGTACTTATCATATCACGAGCATCAGGAATAATACGGCACATGTCAAAATCTACTTTTTGCTTAGCAAGCAGCTAGCTAACAACGTGTGCGTACTATCTCTTCTTCATTGTTTCTCTCCTTCTTGTTCATGTCAGAGCTTCTGAGAGGAGCCGTTTCAGTAATTTATCAGAAGTAAGAAGTGGTTGTTGTTTGGAGCCCGACCCCGCGTCTGACGGAAAAACATGCGGCTCACAGATGTCCTCCTTCTGCCACACGGTATGAAGATATAAAAGGCACACTGTCATTCAAGACACTGTTTGACAGAAGTGTATCATACGGCAGGCATCACGTTTTGCATGATATGAGACGATGTATGTATGATGGGTGAAAGGTAGATGCAAGTGTCAAATGTGCCCCTGATTTACATTCATGGTGGCAGAGAAAGGGGAGGGTGTAGTGATGATACAACGCCCGCCACCTAAGGGGGCACGGCTGAGCTCCACATTGGGGGCGGGGCTCAACGAAGGCGCAAACTTTGCATGCTTTGTTCTCAGGCCTGAAACGAAGCTAGAGGTCTATAGCCTAACGCCGGGAGAGCAGTAGTCAACGGTCATGAACCCATACCTCCGCTGTGTTAACGCGCACAACACCACCCTCCGTAGCAGTTTTTCTGTTTGAGGGTGGGGCCTCTCGCCTACGCCTCTCTCTCGCATATCGCCTTTTGCTTCGCGGTGAATATTACGCAGTTCAGTGTCCGCTTTCAGCGCCAAATCAGTAAGTAAGTGATCAAGTTTGGCCGCACTAAAAACAATACAAGCACTAAAGTGCAAACCCTCGGCGGAGACGCGCATGCTCACTAGAGAAGGGTTCCATGTCAAAGCAATTGGAGGAGACCCGTCTATATACACAGTCTTCTGTGAAAGGCTGTAGACGAGTGGGTAAGCATGCTAACCAAGTGAGGCATATCTTTCGCTGTGCATCTGCCATGTTTTAGCTCAACTAACTAGCTTGGTACGGGATTAGAATGTCTTGCGCATGCACGAACAGATTGTGCCAGGCACGAAACGCGCGCGCGGAAGTATATATGCACTTAGACCGCAGTCACGCGCAATTGACCAATCAGATTACAGAATTGCGGGGGGTTTATTTTTCATAGACACCTCGTTTCAGGTGTCTATGGCGTTTGCAGGTGGTCTACAGCAAACTCCCCGTACAAAATGGCTATTCTCAAAAGTCATTATCTGCGCAAACCGGCCGATTCCGCGTTCGGTATATGAAAGCGTAGAAGGCGCGACTGGCAAAGTAGCTCTTTTAAAATGCATTGTGCACCTGCAAGAAGTCTGTGGACAGTCTCCGGAGCTCGCGAAAGTCAGAAATCACGTCAATATTCCACGAAAAAAGCGTCGGCTTCTTCCAGCTCTGGCGATACACAAACACATTGGGCCGTTGCCGTGCGTTGCTAACCCTTTCAAACGCGCACCACAAATGAGGGCGTTTTATGATGACGTAAACGATTATTTACGGGGGGCGGGGGCTGTCTCCTCGGAGTCTCACACGTAAAAAAAGGCGTCTTGTTCCATCCGAAGGTAAGGAATGAGGAATGAGCGCAGCGTTGCTAGCTTGTTGCTACCCATTTGAACCGCGCAAACACCAATCAGATACTCCGGTCTAAACCGGTAGACGCGGAAGCTCGGTTGTCTACGCTACATTGCAACCCGAGGGGCTGTGGAATGTTGGCGTCCCGAGCGCAGCGAGGGGCGCTACCCACATGCCCCGAGGGTGCAATGTTGCGTAGACACCGAGCTTCCGCGTCTAACCGGTTTAGACCGGAGTATCTGATTGGTGTTTGCGCGTTCAAATGGGTAGCAACAAGCTAGCAACGCTGCGCTCATTCCTCATTCCTTACCTTCGGATGGAACAAGACGCCTTTTTTATCGGTCTGCGGTTGCTACGAGGTCGAGGGTCTTCCAGGACCCCCAGGAACTGCACGATGCCCGGATGCTTCAGGTGACGCAGGATCCGGCATTCCAGCTTGAAGCGTCGAATGAAGTCGGCAACGTGAGGATCATTTGAGGTGAAGAAGATGTGGTGAAGGAGTTTGGCGGCACAAGGAAGACCGTCAAGCTTGGCTTTTATGACTCTTCCATATGAGCCGTGACCGATTTCCTCTGAGGGTTGGATCAGTATTCTTCTGTAGCCAAACGTTTTTCTGAGGTTTATTTCTCGCGTCGTGAGTGGGCTATCTTCCTCCGCAAAGCCCCTGGTCGAAATGTCAATTTCAAAGTCTGGTTCTTCAGACATGGCTCTACTGGATAATCAGAAGGCGTAAGGCGTACGTAATTCACTTTTTTGTAGATTAGAAAGCAAACTGCCCCTTTAAAGGAATTAACCCTGCTATTCACAATAATACTGTCAACTGTGTACTTTTCACGTTTGACAAGCATGTAGCAAACCGCGTTCAGCAATACATTATTAACCCTCGGTGCGCATGCGCAGCAAGGGTTACGGTACTTGGGTCTGTGTGTGTGTGTGTGTGTGTCTGTCTGTTACTCGTCATCTCACTTCTCCAGTGTTCGTTCGTCTCACAAAGGATACCACCTACTGAACGGGCAATGAGGGTCAGAAATTTCGAACGTTTTCTCTGAAAACGCTCTGTTGCAAAGCACGTGTCAAGTCCTTGATGATTGGCAAGGATGTAAGTACTTATCATATCACAGAGCATCAGGAATAATACGGCACATGTCAAAATCTTACTTTTTGCTTAGCAAGCAAGCTAGCTAAAATGTGTGCGTACTATCTCTTCTTGTTTCTCCTTCTTTGTTCATGTCAGAGTCTGAGCTGTTTAGTAATTTTCAGAAGTAAGAAGTGGTTGTTGAGCTGCCCAATGGCTCCAGTTTCCTTCCTTCTGCACACGGTTGAAGGATAAAAGGCACACTGTCATTCAAGAAAATGTTTGACAGAAGTGTATCATACGGCAGGCATCACGTTTTGCAGATATGAGACGATGTATGTATGATGGGTGAAAGGTCAATGCAAGTGTCAAATGTGCCCCTGATTTACATTCATGGTGGCAGAGAAAGGGGAGGGTGAAGTGATGAATACAACGCCCGCCACCTAAGGGGGCACGGCTGAGCTGCCACATTTGGGGGCGGGGCTCAACGAAGGCGCAAACTTTGCATGCTTTGTTCTCAGGCCTGAAAACGAAGCTAGAGGTCTATAGCCTAACGCCGGGAGAGCAGTAGTACAAATGGTCATGAACGCATACCTCCGCTGTTTAACGCGCACACACCACCCTCCGTGCAGTTTTTCTGTTTTGAGGGTGGGGCCTCTCGCCTATCGCCTCTCTCTCGCATATCGCCTTTTGCTTCGCGGTGAATATTACGCAGTTCAGTGTCCGCTTTCAGCGCCAAATCAGTAAGTAAGTGATCCAAGTTTGGCCGCACTAAAAACAATACAAGCACTAAAGTGCAAACCCTCGGCGGAGACGCGCATGCTCACTAGAGAAGGGTTCCATGTCAAAGCAAATTGGAGGAAGACCCGTCTATATACACAGTCTTCTGTGAAAGGCTGTAGACGAGGTAAGCATGCTACCAAGTGAGGCATATCTTTCGCTGTGCATCTGCCATGTTTTAGCTCAACTATAGGCTTGGTACGGGATTAGAATGTCTTGCGCATGCACGAACAGATTATGCCAGGCACGAAACGCGCGCGCGGAAGTATATACGCACATGTGTTGTACTGCTAATTGATGGGCTGAGCCATTTAACCTACTCGTGGTCTCCTACCAGGTCGCTGAGAGTTGGTAACGGGCTAGCTACACTACTAGATAACATGCGAGAGTCGATACACGCCCCTCATTGCAACCCCTTGTGCCTCCAAGTTACGCAGAACAAGCGCATCTCTGTGCCAGAGAGCGCGCATCTCCCGTGCTAATTTGCATTGGCCCGTTCACGTGGTTTTCACGCCGTAACTCCCGAACGCAGCAGTTTCAGAGAAAACCCCACGTATTTTTGACGTTTATCCGACGCTGAATACGTGGTATCGTTTGTGGAGTGATTGATTGCTCGTGAAGGAGACAGACACACACGTAGATATATACGAGTCAATACAAAATAAGTGACGTCACGTAAAGATTACGTCATGCAAATTCTTGCGTGACAACGCCGCGCCAGCATGCAACGGTGAAGTCGAAAGGCTGGGTTTCCGAGACCGCGAGGAGAGAGAGCGCATCTTGCGCAACATGGCAGGGGCGTAGGAACAGGGGGGGCTACGGGGGCCAGGGCCACCCTTTTCTGTTGTTCGTTCGTACCTTATCGTCCATGCCTGAGGGCGAACGCTGCCGCGCCACCAGCGACCGCTTTTATGCGCACGTTCTACGTATATACACGTACGTACGTACACGTAGCCTCGCGGGCGAGAGGCGTGGCTCCGCAAGCGCAATTCGCCGAGGGTTTGCACTTTAGTGCTACATTACAAAAATTTTGTGGCCCCCCCAATGCAAAACACTTTCCTACGCCCCTGCATGGTGGTATATTACAACCCCATGGAGTAGACGAACGGACGGCAGCAATACTGCGTATCTTGGGCTCCAAATGTAAGAGCATCAAACCTGAAACGTGGGCTTTTTCTGGGTTCTGTGAGGTGTTTGAGGGTTAGTCCTATGATTAGCAGTACCGTGGACCCAGTGCCAAGTATTTTCGAGTTGGTTGTATACAACCGTTGTTGAAAGGTACATGTATTTTTACGTAGCAACTCTTGCTGTAGGTGCCTAGATGTAACGTTAACCGACACAAAATCTGTAGTGCATACTTCCTAGTAGGTAGAACGAAGTATATACATGATGAAACTAAGGGAGCTACTCTTCAGGGTTGTTAGAGCTAGAGGCAAAGGCAAATGGTTTCTTCAGGACTGGACAAGATGAGCTGTTTCTTTCAGCTGTTGGACAATATTTTTAGGTCCTCCCCTGTTTTTTGTGGCTTTCCTTATTTGATTTGAAACTCTTTAAGTGGACACAGATTGAGCAATCAAGCTATGTGTGAGGAGACCACTCGTCCGGCACTCGAACACAGCGAGTGCCGGACGATGTTACAAATATATTGTGGATGTATATCTTTGCTATCATTTCTTATTATACTTTATATGATCTGTATAAATTTGCTTCTTTTCCTTCATACATGTACGTGCAGTTCCCTTCTCCCCTTTGATTTTTGTGTGAAGCTACCACATGTGCGACAACTACGCTCTGCAACTGGTGCTGATGGTACTCTGGTGGACTTAGCTTACTGAGAACAGTACTGATTACAGGCACTTATCTTTTATACAAGTAAATTAAAAATCCTGCGAATTTAAAAATGAGGCATATAGGGATGGTATAAAAAGAAAGGGAGACAAGATAGGGGTGGGATGCATGAAGCATGGTTAATGACTAAAATGAAAAGCACTGAAGTGCAAACCCTCGGCGCATTGTGACGCGCACGCGTAAGTAAACGCATGCGCCGTACCACTAATTGGTGGGCTGGGTTTAGTTTTAGCTGTTACTCCTGGTCTCTTCCCAGCTCGCGCAGAGTCTGACGCAGGCTAACTACACTACTAGATAGCATGCGAGAGGCGATACACGCCCTGCGTTGCATCTTCTGGTGCCTCTGAGGTACGCAGAGCACGCGGATCGATCAGACCGTGGTAAGCCGTCCTGTCCGTTGCCTATTTGCATATTAGCTTTTTCGCGCTCTAGCTCTGCAACGGAGCAGTTTCAGAGAAAACCCCACATATTTTCTGACCTTCATTGCCCGTTCAGTAGGTGGTATCCTTTGTGAGACGAACGAACACTCGAGAAGTGAGATGACGAGTAACAGACAGACACACACACACACACACAGACAGACAAACCCAACTACCGTAACCCTCGCTGCGCATGCGCGCCGAGGGTTAACAACAGGGACACGTGAAAGAATGCTTGCTTTTAGTAACCTTTAGCCCCTATAAATATAGGGATTGTGTGATGGGGTTGGGGGTGTCAGCGTATTCAAATCTGTTCATTAACCATGCTTCATGCATCCCATCCCTATCTTGTCTCCCTTTCTTTTTATACCATCCCTATATGCCTTTGCAGGATTTTTAATTTACTTGTCTCCACTCATTTTTATATACTACTACGTATTATCTCTGTGCAAGGGGGCAAGCTCCTATAAAATGCCTGTTGTCGTCACGGAAATGATATGCGCACCAAGTTTCACCTCCATGTGTGCTGCCGTTAGCAAGTTTGAGGAGCGAAGAAGTAATTTTAAAGAAAAGTACCTTAGGCTATTTGTTGTCGTGGTCGTCATGGAAACGATGTTACACACATGCGTACCAAGTTTCATCTCCATGCGTGGTACCGTTAGCGAGTTTGAGGAGTGAAGAAGTAATTTTAAAGAAAAGCGCCTGAGGCTATTTGTTGTTGTGATCGTCATGGAAACGATGTAATACACATGCGTACCAAGTTTCACATCCATGCGTGCTACAGTTAGCAAGTTTGAGGAGTGAAGAACTAGAATATTGCCTGAGGCTTTTCGACCCAATATGCAGTCGTCATGGAAACATGTAATCGTCACGTAAATGATATATAAGGCATACATACCAAGTTTCATCTCTATGTGTGGAAAGTTTGAGAAGTGAAGAAGTAAATTTAAAGAAAAGTGCCTGAGTCTATTTGTTGTTGTTTACAAACATGTGTTGTTGTGATTTTTAATGTTGGTGATTGAATACATTATGTCTACAAAGTTTCGTTCACATAACTCTTACCAATTGTGAGTTATGCTGACACATGTGAACCAATTATAATGTATTGCCCGGGGCTATTTGTTGTTGTTTACAGTAGACAATTGTTTATCACTAAGTACGGTAGTACTTAGTATAATAGGGATGACACAGGTTGTCCTACATTATGCCCATACATTTGAGAATTTCATGTTTCACTTTCTGTTTCAATCAGATCCAACTTTTGACACATCAGACTAATTTGTATCGTCACAAAGAGCATGTATCCAAGAAATAGCTTAAATCGCATAATCGGTACTTGATTTATTCAACAAAGTCACTTTTCAATTTTCTTGTTGTTGTTGTTGTTGTTCAGTTTAGACAAGCGTATCTCAAAAACCGGGTAAGATATGGATATGAAATTTTGCACAGATATTGGAATCCATGACAGGTCGTGCAAGAGCATTTTTATTTCTTCGTAAACTATTTTGTTTACATGTAAACAACAACAAATAGCCCCAGGCAATACATTATGATAGAGACAAATAAAGTGTGCTAACTGGGTAAAGCTAATACCCTGAATTATAAACCTTTGTACACACATGCAACCCACCATTAGTATCAAAATGTAAACATTACAAGTCTGTAAACAACAACAAACAGCCTCAGGCAATAAAAACTTGTAAACTACGGAACACCCGTGCACACCACAATATAACCCTCACTGCGCATGCGCGCCGAGGGTTAATACAAAGACGTGAATGGCTAAAAAGCACGCACAAATTATGATTAAATATAGCTGCGGCATACACAAACGTGTGGAGGATGGTATATGTCTGCCAGCAATGGATAGGTTCCTCAGTCGCCATGTCTCGCATAGATAGAATGTATATTTATAGTCACATATTTATTTTGGATAATCTACTTTTAACATTTCTATTTCTACCATTTCTACTATTATTTATTGGCGAGCGGAAGCGAGCTAACCTAGTGGTCCGAACGGCGCGATTTTTCTATATTATATATATAATATGTACCGTACGTCGTCCAACTGCGCATGCTCCAGCATTACGCGCTTCTTTTTATCCGAAAGGGATTTCAACATTTTCATAATGCTGCCTGAATCGAGCGGAATCAGGGGAAACGCAACACCTCTGAAGCTATCGAGTATTGCTGCACAGTCCAGCGAGAGATTTTTCTACATTGCCACTTGTTCCCTATTCCTGCAAGACCAATCAGATTGCCGGATTATGCCTGATTCGCGCTGTCGTCTGACTGTTTTTGACTCGACTCGAATTGTCTACTGCGCTCGGGTCGTTTCGGCCTACTTGGTCCTGTGCAATGTATCTCACTGTTTTGTGCACACACAAGAGTGACTCATACGATTAGACCCCAATTGTAAGCGCGCTTCCACTCGCCAAAAATGCCATGCATTCGCCTACTAGTATTTTTCTTACACGTGTATATGCTGTGCGTTATTTAAAGTAATCGACAGAACTATTATAATTATTTTAGAAATTCTATTTTTTCTATTTTTCTTACACGTGTATATGCTGTGCGTTATTTAGAGTAATCGCACGTTTTTTATGTCTCCGTCGTGTCGTCGTGCTGCGTGAGTTTCAGAGTTTTTAGATTTTTCTATGAGTTTATTGGTCCTTTGAGGCTTTCTATTTTTCTACCGGCTGTTGTTTTTATCCTGTAGCTGTCGTTTTTTTGTACATGATTTCTATCTATTTATTTTATAACTATGTGTAAGGGAGGTTGGGACACTGGGTGTGTACGGAGAGTTGGGCCCATAAAAGACTCTTTAACCTACCGCCCCGGTTCTCAAGGCTGGGCACCCAGGGCCCTGCCTCTTTCTTTCTGTTTATATGTTATTGTCTGTGTTTTTGTATGCTTGGGTATGTTATTGTCTGTGTTTTGTGTGCTTGGGTGGGGGAGGTTCTTTCTTTTCCTCTGATATTATTCTTTTAGCTAGTATGCTATAAACATGTTTTTTCATGGTCTGGTGGTGTCGCAGTAACGCATACCGGTAGCTATAGCTTTGTGTACAAAAATGTGTTGAGCCCCCCTAATTTTTTAACCCTATCTCCGCCCCTGGATGGACTCTCTGTCAATAAAGTCAAACAGACCGTAGATTTAGCCCTCGTTGAAACTCACTTTTCTGGAATCCAAGAGAACTATAACCAGCAAAAGTTAGTCTCCTTTGAACGCAAGACGGACGGGCTTGCAGCCAGCAAACACGTAGTCTCGTGCCCAGACCCTGCACGCACTCAGAGAGAGGAAAAGGGTCTGGTGACTATTGAGCGTTTTCTTTGTTGTGCTGACTCGACAGTCTTACTTTTGAGACACCGAATCAGATTGCCGTATTTGCCACAAGCGTGAAATATCACATGAGGTTATGTAATAGATCGTAACGCAGCTCCCCCCATAGTCTCGTGCCCAGCCCTGCCTCAGCCCTCTCTCAAAGGGTCTGCGTTTTCTTGGTTGTGCTGACTCATCATTGCCGAATGCATGCGCAGTCCACGGAGGTCCACGAAGGTCCACGAAGGTCCACGGAGCTGCGTTACGATCTATTACATAACATCATGTGATATTTCACGCTCGTGGCAAATACTGCAATCTGATTCGGTGTCTCAAAAGTAAGACTGTCGAGTCAGCACAACCAAGAAGTCACCAGACCCTTTTCCTCGAGAGATCGAGAGGGCGGGGGCTGGGCACGAGACTAGTCTCCCACGGCCGCGCCGGCTAAGATCGGCAGCACATCACCATTGTTCAACCATAAATCACGAGACACATTACGAAATTACGTCAAGTAAAATTTAACGCGGGCCGGGCGGGGCCAACGTCAATGGAGACCTCTTCTTTACTGCAGGTTTTCTCGGGACTCAGGGGTGGTGGCAGAGATGCTCATTTAGAGATGCAAACTACGTTACTACTCCCAGATGAGCTACAAATCGCCCACTCGGGGCCTGTACGCGGACACGCCTTTTTTATTCATACTACAGTTCGTCGATCCATATCATACGTACGTGTATATACATTTTGAAACCTTGCTTCCTTTTTTTTGTGTTGTGCTTAGAATTTTCTCGGTGCTCACTTCGATATTTGTAGGGGAGGGTTCAAAGATTTGTATGGGCAAGGTATTGTATTATACAAAGTTTAGCGGACAAATTGGGTCCAAAAAAGCCGGAAAATGAAGATTTTCGACGAATTTCGATAAACGTATGGGTAAAAAGGATCAGTTCTATTGCTTACTAGAAGCTATTACCTGTAGGAAGTGTCTATGCTCTATAAGATAATACTCTAGAGATCAGTTGGATTGGCGTCGTCTGCCACTGAGATAGGTGAACAGAGTTTGCGCCTGATGGACGCATCAGCGTGAGCGGTGACTGTAGTAGCCAGCTACGTATATATATAACCTTTAGCCACCGGTTGGTCTCCGGTCAGACACGCAGTGTTTCAGTTAGTATTACGCTACCTGCATACCAGTAGTGGAACCTTCAAGCCTACAGACACAAGAATGGTTCGGCAAGCAACCGCGGCCTCTACCACCAAACGCCCCGCCAGTTGTGGCTTTTCTCACGCAGCTTCCCACGTGCAGTGGACTCAGGTGCTTTGGTACTCCACCAACATACATTCAAATGAGTGTCAATAACCACATTCACTAAAAACAGAAAAAGTGGGAAGGTGGTTCCGCTCGGCAAAGTACAGGCGTAGAGGTCGGGCCGTTCCTTGTTGGATAACACCACCAGAACAGCAGGCAGACATCCATCACAACGTTTTTCATGTCAAACCTTCTCCAACACAGAGTGGGGTGGTTTGGAAACTGATTTAACCCACGTGGCAAACATGTCATCTTGCCTTGCGAACAGTCTAGTGCAGTTTTCCAGCCCAAAACCAACACTTCAGCGCGCGGGTGCGGAGACGCACCGCCATATAACAACGGCATCACGGCCTCCAGTGCTGCGCTCTCAGTAGTACGGCGGTTTAATCACGCTTACCAGGAGTTTAGCGAAGGCTTGAGAAACAAACCAGCCACGATCGAATGGCCAGGAAGAAGCCCGATGTCGTGTGCGACGAGTATCAGCGAGCGAGCGGCGACGATACGACATGCGCATGCGTAGTGGTTTTGGCGCAAATCCTTGTAGGTTTGGCTCGTTTTTCATAATATGGTAAAACAACATGAGTGCAACGAGAGGAGCCGCGTGGAGCGAGAGAGAAATAAAAACGTTGATACGAATACGGAGTGACAAAAAAAGTGCAAGAAGAACTTGAGGGATCAGTGCGAAATAAGGAGATTTACAAGAAGTTAGCAAAGGAGATGGAGGGGAGTGGATACAGCAGAGATTGGGAGCAGTATAAGGCGAAAATAAAAAATCTAAAGACAGAATACAGTGCAGCAAAAGACAACAATGGAAAGACTGGTAGGGGGCGAAAAACATAGCACTTCTTCAAAAAAATGGACGAGGTGTTGGGCTATCGAGCAGCCTCCAGGCCACCATTCCTCTTAGACACCTCTGCACCTCTGGACCTGAGTGAGGAGAGAGGAGAGGAAGAGAGACATGACAAAGAAAACAGTGACCATGAACATGTACATCAAGCCAATATTCTGAAAGTAGCATACATTATTAGGTGATACAAAGAGGCATCGTGAGGGAGAAGATGACGAGGAGGCTTGCTCATCGAAGCAGAAGAAGGACAGTATGTTAATCACTAGGGCCAAAAATATACTGCATTTGAGCCTGATCTCACTTCAACTTTACCTAGTTGCAAAACCAGCAAAACGGAGGAAAACAAAAGCAGAGACAGCACTCACTGAAGTAGTGGCAACTTTCAAAACGATGCAGGAGGAGTCTGGGGAGCAGTTTAGAGCTTGGGAGGAAGAGAGGTGGAGGAAAGAGACAGAGCTATATAGAGGAGAGGAGGAGGAGGGAAGAAAGAGTTCATGAACTAAAGGTTCTGCAATTGCTGACAAGACAAAACCCACCACAGCATAGGCAGCAGCACCGGTATTCATTTGGGCTACCTTCGGAAGCTTCCCCCTACTCATGCACGAGTCCAGAACAATCACCTACATACCAGGCATGCTATCTACTACTGTAGCTAGCCCGTGTCAGACTCTCCGCGAGCTACAAGCGACCACGGGTAAATGCATACTATAGCCCAGCCCATCAATTAGAAGTATCGCTCGTGCGCAGTTCGCCGAGGGTTTGAACTTTAGTGCTTTTCATTAATTCTGAATATTTCCCTCTGCCTGCATGGTACCCCATACTCTTCCTTTTCTCTTCTTTTCTACTTGCTACTTTGTTTCTGCGTGGTCGTCTTCCCTTTCCCCTTCCTTTACAAACAGTTATTGTGTGTCTGCAGGTTTTAAGCAAGGTTCATAACCAGCTGCTGCAGATTGCAGATGAACGTGCTCAGTCAGCAGAACAAAAAGCCCTACAGCTTGAACGCCAAGTGAGCTGCATTTACTTAAAACTGGCAATAATGTGCTAATGCTTTTCTTTTACTCTTTAGCTACTCAGTCTTCGCGACAAATATGGTCATCCTGAAACATCTCACCTTTCTATATACGTTTACTCGTCCGTCAACCTACACCTCCACACTTGGAGGATACCCTTCTTTCTCCTCCACCCTCCTCCCTCCCTGCACATCATCTTCTCCATACTCCCTGTCCACCTCACTCTCCACCCATCTCCCTCCCTCCACCTCCCTGGAGCCCTTCAAACTCTCATTCTCACTGCCTTCTTCCTCGCCTTCCCCGCCCACCACTGATCATCTGAGACCACTCGCTGACTCTGAGAGAGCAGCTCTGCCTACCTCAACTGGATCATTTTCACATCCCTTGCCGTCCAGTAGCGCTGATGAACATACTAGTGAGTTGAACGTATACCGTGGACCCATACGTTATCTATAGTGAACCATGACAGAGCATAGATCTGCGTTCAAAACTACTAAAGCACGATGAAGCACTGTGTGCATCGCAATTGTCATAATTATTGTGCAAAGTGACACAGTGTGCTAGGCAATGCGGCAACATTAGCCTTCGGGTTTTCGTAGCCTAAGTTTCTCCCCACCATGTAAAGCAGACTGTTCAAAAGCTTAAGTGGCTGTAAATTTCTTGGACAGGAAAACTTTCCTTTTACCTTACTTTCAGGAGAGTTTTGCTCTTTCAGGTCTTCTCAAACCAAGTACAGTTCTTGGTAAAGGAGCTGGGAGTGGTAAACATGATGTCATATGGGACCCAGTGGTGACATCATCATCCTCTGAACTAGGACAAGACACTATTGGAACTACTCTACCATCAGTTGAACTTCCTACACCTGAATTCTCTCTACCGCCTCATGATAGCAGTAGCAAAGGTATATACAAGTAGCATAATGTGCAGTGATCAGGTATTGTGTACTTTTCCAGCATCATGGGAATATGACAGTATGTACTTAGCTAAAGGCCAAATTTATACAAGTGTTGGGTAAGGTAAAACTAAACAATAGGGCCCAGTGCAAGCTTCATATAATGTTTTCTACATATATTTAGCCATTATATACTGCCACGGTCACCTTGATTGTTTAGCTGAGGAAGTTAGTAATGCCTCAAGATTTGCCCACACCTTTGCAATACTTATGCCTTAGAAGAATACTATCTTGTGCTTTCACACTTTTTACCGACTGGTATAAAATAGGAGACAAGGAGTCATCAAGCAGTGATTGGTCCAGCAGTGACGAAGATGATGATGAAGGAGATGAAGCTCCTCTGCGTCCCTCCACCCACTCTGCACTCCAGGCTCAGTGGGAGTGGAGAACCATGGCTGACTCCCTTCCTGACAAGTGAGACTCCGTGCCGTCTTATCTTTACTCTAAACTGTATATTTACTCACATAATAGACGTGCAAACTTTAATGTTAATCTGGTTTTGTCTATATAGGAAATCACTATCTATGGGAAATATACAGTAGTTAAAATTTAATAGTTATGTGGTTGCATTCTCTTGTCCTAGTTCTCCAATGGGAACAGGCCACACCCCCAAGAAGAAGCCACCACCAATAGCTCCCAAGCCGAGAGTATCGTGGACTCACTCATTACCAACCACTGACCTCAACTACCAACTGACAGAAGACCCTTCTTCCTTCTCTCAGGTCCAGGTTATTCTCTTCTTCTCCAATTTTGACCAATGCTCGTATTATTCAAACAACATTCAAAGAGCCATTCATGAATGCGACTCAAATTTGAGTAGCCAACAAAAAAATACATATCCCAGTATTAATAATCATGCTATAATGGGCCTTATCATTGATTGGTGGGTGAATGCGAGTGTGAAATTTCAGCTGTTTATCTGTGTTGCTTTTCGGTATTGGTGCATGTATTTCAGATACTAGATAAAATTGCGCAATTCAGACAGGAAGGCTCGCTTTGTTCGCCAATCATGTTAGAAATGTTCCATTGATGACAGATATGACGTTTCCCCCATGCAGGCAACTCATGTCAGTGACCTGACCTCTCTGACCTCCAGTTTTCCTAGACCCAGGGGACCACAGGGAAGAAATCTACCATCAAGACTCTACAAGTAGCTAATACTGCTATGTGTAGTACTTTTCGCCAGACTCCAACATAATAATCATTGATGTGTTTACAGTGTGCATTACAAAAATGCTACATTCTCTGTAGGATTTCAACAATCTCTGAGTGACTCTTAGATCTGGCAATGTCAATGGGTCTGCTTCCCTTCTGTGGTGATAGTGTCATGATGATGTCATCGAGTATATACTTACCTTAGTCCGTATGTTGACCAGAGCCTGAGCTTCAGTCAGTAGTCTCACCACATCAACTTTGCCTTCTTGAGCTGCCAGGTAAAGAGCAGTCGCGCCATCCTGTGGACACAAACACACAGTCACCTCACCTAGTACAGCTGTATACAGTGACACTGCGTGTGATGATGTGTATTTTCTGGTGGTAGGAACAACATACCTCTTTCTGTGTGTTGATCTGTGCCTTAGCCTCAATCAGTGTTTGTACAACATCAGTATGCCCCTCAAATGATGCTCCCATTAGTGGAGTCCAGCCATCCTAGAGTAATATCGTAAAGTCATAGAGACACATGGAGGATCTTTGGAGCCACATTACCGTCTTACAGATGCTGACATCAGCATGTTGTTGAAGTAGTAGTTTAACAACTGCTCCATGTCCTTTCCAACTAGCAGTGTAGAGAGGAGTCACGGCATTCTGTACATGTATCAACACACATTATCATAGTGGAAACTTCTGTATGGATATGATAATATCTATACATAATATGACCAATCGTTAGACATGACATAGTGTGTGTACCTCAGTCTGTATGTTGACCAGAGCCTGAGCTTCAGTCAGTAGTCTCACCACATCAACTTTGCCTTCAAGAGCTGCCAGGTGAAGAGCAGTCGCACCATACTGTGGACACAAACACACAGTCACCTCACCTAGTACAGCTGTATACAGTGACACTGTGTGTGATGATGTGTATTTTCTGGTGGTATGAACAGCATACCTCTTCTGTGTGTTGATCTGTGCCTTAGCCTCATTCAGTGTTTGTACAACATCAGTATGCCCCTCAAATGATGCTGCCATTAGTGGAGTCACACCATTCTAGAGTAATAATCGTAAAGTCATAGAGACACATGGAGGATCTATGGAGCAACATTACCTTCTTACAGATGCTGACATCAGCATGTTGTTGAAGTAGTAGTTTAACAACTGCTCCATGTCCATTCAAACTGGCAATGTAGAGAGGAGTCTCGCCATCCTGTACATGTATCAACACACATTATCACGAGAAATCCCAGCGCAGACTACTGAATTTTGAAAGGAGACATACACAATACAGATATTACATTGGCATTCTACATATGTGTATAGCTAAGCTATCCCTTAGTCTGTATGTTGACCTAAAAATTTATCCTGACATTAACCTACCTTATCCACACAATTTATAGAGACTTTTTGCAGAATAAGATTCTGCACTCTTTTTTCCAATCCATAGAATGCTGCTTCAAATAACTCTGCCTCCTGAAACAGAACAAGTGTTACAACAGCCATAGACATGACATAACTTTACTCACCTTCAAACTGAGACAGTGGTATTGTAGGTCTCCAGCTGCTAATCCAAATATCCTTTGTTCTGCCATTAGTCGATCAGAACTCCTTCCTGGAGTAACACTCTTCAAGTATGGCAGTAGAGCAGGGGACATGGTCCAGCAGACCACCTGGCCATCCTCAGAACAACCTGCATACACTAGAGCTACTCGGGGGATGTGGAAGTAGCCGCAGACAGCAATAGTGATGTCATCATAGTCCTGGAGAGTGAGGTGAGGTCGATCCACCTGGACTGAGACTCTGATTGTCTCAAGATGCTCTGGACTCTTGTGCTCATCAAACACACAGGGATGAATAGACTGCATGTCGTTGAGGGGACCAGTGTGGTAGGCCAGGTGGAACGGACTAAGGGAAGTGGTCAATTTGCTTACTTTTGTCGGTAACTTTGTCCGTCGACAAATCAGGGAAGAGGCACACTTGCTGCGAAACTGTAGGAATTGCTCCACTGCCTCAATCGCTGGAGGACACTGACACTCCTCTGACATCATCTTGAGGAGGTCGGGACTGAAGCAATTCCAGAGACTAGACTGACATCTGAGCACCTCTTCTGTTGAGGCAGCATTCTCATATGTGCTAGGGTTGACTATCGGGACGACTTTTCTCTCTCCCATTGGCAGGACTAGCTGACTGAGGAACTGTTTCAGACGAGAGAGGCAGTCAGGAAGCTGCTCAAATGCCTCCATCACTGCTGCTAGTGTCTGTAAGAACTTACTATGGAGATCTGATACTTTCAGCTCTGGTGGTGGGATGGTGGTAGGTGGTGGGTAAAACCTTCTAGTGGCTTGTTTCTTCCTTTCTACATTGATGTTATTATGGTCTAGAAAGAGAAAATTGTGTTATACAAATTACAAACAGTAAGATAAAATAAAGAGAATCATGATACCTGATCTGAGTTTCATTGCCAATTTTCTCTTTTTTGGGCAGTCAGTGGCCTCGAGGATATTGCACAGATCTAGTGCAAATGTGGGTGGGCTCTCCTTATTAAACAGAGCAACTCCAGCTGAAATATTCTGTGCATATGTAGAGCTGTATGCCTCTGCGTTTCCCTTCTGTTGTGATGTGATGAGCTTCCTCTCCACCATCTCATGGAGTATGGACTTGGCATTGAGGTACTGGCAGACCTCACTGAGGTTGAGTCGTAACACTTTTGCACCCAACATTCGCTGTTCAGCAACAATTTCCCCTTCATCTTCTGTACAATCATAGTTATTACTGAAGATAAAAAATCATTTAGTAAACAAGCTCTGTCCATACCTTCATGTTCTCCCAACTTCAGTGAAGGAAGAGAGACACACCGCTGCAACAATAAGAGAGTATCCAACACTGTGACACTTTCATTATAACAAATTCATACCTTTAGATTTCCTTGCTGCTTGTGATAGATTTCCCTTCCTTCTGGGCTACTGGTTTTCTGCAAATGTGTTTGGACGATCTGCTTCAATTCTGCAAGTTTCTCTTGAAGTTCAGCTTTCTCTGTTGCAGCCACAGCTTTCTCCTTCTCCAGTTCTTCAATGTACCTCTTGAGCCTAGCATTTTCTGAGAGCACTTTTACGTTTTCTGTCTCTAAGTCATTGACTCTTTTCTTCAAACGGCCATTTTCGTTCTTGTACTCTGTTTTCCTTCGTTCCTCCTCCTCTTCCCTCTCTTTCTCTGTGACCAGAGGCCGCTTCTTTGTGCGAAGCTCTGCTATCTCCTCGTCAAAGTTTCTCTCGGTTTTCTTCCAGAAGATTCCTCCCCAGGACCTTCTCTTCTCCTGATTGAGAGCTTCAATGTGTCCATCAACTCTGCTATCTCTGTGTCCCTCATCCTCAGTGCTGAAGGGGTTGGTGGTAGTTCAACAACCTGTTGGTTGTACTGGGACTTGCTCTCTCCATACTCTGGAGTTGACCTCAGCTGTGCCAGTCTCTGGCAGAGGTTGCCTGCAGTGGGCCTTTCTTTCTCTTCAATCTTTGAGGCATTCTAAGGCCATTGGGCGAAGTGAGTGGGTCATGAAAACTTCTTGGAGGTCGTTCTTTCGGCGCTCAAGCTCAGGAATGGGGACAAGAATTCTCTTTTGATACCTGGGATCTATCACTGGATTGTGACGAGCTGTTGGTTTAGGGAACCGACGTGTGATGATCTGAACAATGAGCACTCCAGTGGAGAACACGTCAATCTTGTCGGAATACACAGGTACATCAAGCAATGCTTCAGGGGGCATGTAGACCTCTGTGCCAGGGCACATGGTTTGCTTGTTTCTGCTCATGCGAGGGTTGAGGTCGACCATCTTGGACATGCCAAAGTCGGTCAGCTTGGCCCGGGAACCAGCAGTGAGAAGAATGTTGTTGCTGGAAAGGTCGCGGTGCTGAATACCGTTGCTGTGAAGGTAATCGAGGCCCAGAGTGATGTCGTAGGTGATGTTCACCTGGACATGATAGGGGAGAGCTCTCTGTCGGCTCTCTAGGAAGTCAGTGAGGCTCTGCTCCATCAGCTCCATGAGGAGAATCGGTCTGCGGTTGCTACGACGTCGAGGGTCTTCTAGGACCCCCAGGAACTGCACGATGCCCGGATGCTTCAGGTGACGCAGGATCCGGCATTCCTGCTTGAAGCGTCGAATGAAGTCAGCAACGTGAGGATCATGTGAGGTGAAGAAGATGTGGTGAAGGAGTTTGGCGGCACAAGGAAGACCGTCAAGCTTGGCTTTTATGACTCTTCCATATGAGCCGTGACCAATTTCCTCTGAGGGTTGGATCAGTACTCTTCTGTAGCCAAACGTTTTTCTGAGGTTTATTTCTCGCGTCGTGAGTGGGCTCTCTTCCTCCGCAAAGCCCCTGGTCGAAATGTCAATTTCAAAGTCTGGTTCTTCAGACATGGCTCTACTGGATAATCAGAAGGCGTATGCAAACTCACTTTTTTTTGGTAGATTAGAGAGCAAACTGTCTCTTTAAAGGAATTTAACATTGCTATCCATAATAAGCCTGTTCACGTTTGATGCTGTTGTAGCCAACCGAGTTCAGCAATACACATGTTATTACTGCAAGTGGCAGCTGTCTAGACTACTTCCACCAAAGACACATTGTTGCACTGCAGGTTAATGAATATGTAAGGCATCAGGGGGGTGAGCCTAACTACCCTATCTATACCCTTGAAGAAAACCCTAGTCTCCCCTTATGCTCTCGGCCTTAAGAGTGCGTCTAAACATTGCTTTACCTACTTATTATGCTTTGCCATAAAGTTGTCAAGAAAGGGGGAGGTAAGCAGATATGATATCTATAGTTTTCAGTCTTGTGCTGAAGGCGATCAAGTTTGTAAAATCCTTGGGCCTCTGAAGGGTGGATGAAACAAGGATTTGAACACTTGTCATATCCGAGAGCATTAGGATTACAACCCAAAATCCCAGAAAGCTATCCTAACTAGTGTATACATTGTAAACTCTTACTCTGAGTATTACTGAGTTTTGAAACTCATCGTCGAAGATGCTCACCAGCTATAATGCTAGCAAACTGTTTTTTTCCATACGAGCTTAGATATTTGCTGCCTTGGGTGTAGTTCCTATATACTTTTTAAGCCTGCTTGAAGGGTGTGTCTATCAACATTAAACATTGCATTTACCTACTTATTATTCATGGTCATAAAGTTGACAAGAAAGGGGGAGGTGACTGGAAATGAATAATATCTATAGTTTTTCCTCTCACATTGAAGGCAAAAAGTGTTGTGAGGTCCAGAAGAAGGGTTGATGATGGTAAACAAGGATTTGAACACTTTTCATACCTCAGGGCATCAGGATGACAACGCATGAAAATCCCAGAAAGCTATCCAAGCTAGTGCATACATGCTTTGTATGCCACTTCTCTTATTCTGAGTATCACTCATGGAATTTTGTAATTCATAATGCGAAGATGCTCACCAGCTATAAACTAGAAGACTGTTTTAAGCTCAGATCTTAGCTGCCTTGGGTGTAGTTCCTATATACCCTTTTAAGCCAGCTTGAAGGGTGTGTCTATCAACATTAAACATTGCCTTGCCTACTTATCATGCATGGCCATAAAGTTGACAAGAAAGGGGGAGGTGACTGGAAATGAAATATCTCCATCCAAAACTGACAAACAAGCTAAGACTCTTAACATGATAAAGCTCTGCATCACATGTCCAAGTCCTTGATGATTAGCAAGGATGTAAGCAGATCACAGAGCATCAGGAATATGGCACATGTCAAAATCTACGTTTCTTTGTTCATGTCAGAGTCTGAACTGTTTAGCAATTTTCACAAGTAAGAAGAGGTTGTTGAGCTGCCTAAAGGCTCCAATTTTCTGCTTTCTGTTCACACGGTTGAAGGATAAAAGGCACACGTTATAATAAAGGTGTATATCAAGCCTGTATAGCTTATACCTTGCATACGGCAAGCATCAAGTTTTTGCAGATATGAGACGATGAATGTATGATGGGTGAAAGGTCAATGCGTTCCCCTGATTCCATTCATGGTGGCAGAGAAAGGGGAGGGTGAAGTGATGAATACCAACGCCCGCCGCCCAAGGGGCGCGGCTGAGCTGCCACATTTGGGGGCGGGGCTCAACGAAGGCGTAAACTTTGTATGTTTTGTTCTCAGGCCTGGACGAGGCTGGAGCTCTGTAGCCTGTTAGTTTAGCGGCTCTACCGTACGATGTAGTTGTAAATAACGCCGGGAGAGCCGTAGTACAAACGGTCATGAACGCATACCTCCGCTGTGCAAACGCACACACATCACTGCTCCGTGCAGTTTTCTGTTTTGAGGGTGAGGCTGAAATATCACCTCTCGCTTTGCGGTGAATATTACGCAGTTCAGTGTCCGCTTTCACCGCCAAATCAGTTATATATAAGTGTAAGTGGTCCAAGTTTGGTCGCAATAAAAATAATACAAAGACGTGAATGGTCTGGTGTCGCAGTAACGCGTACAGATAGCTATAGCTGCTAGCACAGCTAGTCGTAACACAAACAAAATACCTTCCGTTGCCAGTGATAACTCTACAGGAGGTGAACTATAAAAGGTCTCCCCCACCGCTCCAAGTATGTCTCCGTGTCTGGCAATAAAGTCAAGAAATCTAGAAGCAAATCACTGTAGATTTAGCTCTCGTTGAAACTCACTTTTCCGGAATCCAAGAGAACTATAACCCGCAATAGTTAGTCTCCTTTGAACGCAAGACGGGCGGGCTTGCAGCCGGCAAACACGCTCCTTTTCTTCCGCTGCGAAATCTGGTCACGCATGCGCAGAGAGCAGCTACACATTTAACCCCTAGCCCACGCGCACACTTATAAATTTCCTGCGGCGGCGGCGGCGGTGTTTATTCATGGCAGCCTCAGAACAGCAGCAGACCTGGAAACTGCACGGCCCTGTTTCAGATCCGGACGCCTTCGCTTCCTCTCCGACCGAAAACCCGCTGGACTGGACGTGCGAGGAGCTCAAGGGCCGCGCCACTGCTCTCTTCTTCCCGCTGAGCGACGGAGAGATCCTCGTCCGAGAAGGTATATACGTACGTAGCGTTCCCTCACTCTCGCGCGACGTGTGTTAGCTTTACTTCGTCTTTGAGGCGGGGTAGACATTTTTGGCGGGTGTGTATGTATGTGTGTTGTTAGCAATATCCAGTGTTCAGCTGCATCTGGGGGCCTATAACCGTTTCCTGGAGTTGCCGTAGTTACCTGGAGATGTAGCGGAATTTGGTCAGGTAGCCGACTTTGTGTGTATGCCGAAGTCGCCGCGGGTTATGTACATCTTCGGAAGGCTTCTGTATTTGGCGCCACCTCCTCCTCGTCCTAACCTAGCTAAATCATCCCTCCAACCTCTCGTTAATTGTTTGCTGGTGTAAGCTGCATATAGAGCAGTATTGTATGTGTGCGAGGTGCACCTGCTTATGTTGGGTACAATCTATTCTCTCTCCCAATCCTTATGACAATTTTAGACTCTCTTTCTCTCTCTTGCGTTGCATGCATCTTTTACTGAACTCTAATGCAGAGTTTTGGATCATCCTAGAAGTAAACCGTATATACACCAGTTTCCCCAAACATGTGTACTAATCACTACATATTGTGTACTGTAGCTAGCCAGTGTGTTTGACTACATAAGGATGTAAGGTACACAGTATTAGAGGCAGTTTGTCTGTGGCATGGCACACAACCCCAGACACATACCGACTGGCCAATTCTCAACATCTTTCCTTGTAGGAGGACAGATATCAGTTACATGAGTTGTAGCGCAATGTGCAGCTAAGCATAAGACAGTGCTGATGCAGCATATTGCACTCTATATAGTGATCTGCGTACAGTTTTTATACACTAAGAGCTGTATATACCTAATTCAAATTGGTTGTCCTGTTTTTCGTTTATGCATTATGCTGAGTCATTAGGAATAATGTAAGTTTTCTGTTCGTCCATCGCTGTCGTCTGTCATTGAACATTTGTAGTCTCTCTCTGAGATTTACATTCTTAGAAGAACACTCACTGGCACTGCGTGATTGTGTTCTATAATGCAGAGTTTTGGATGCATTGCTTCATTAATTCTGAATTTTCCCCTCTGCCTGCATGGTACCCCATACTCTTCCTTTTCTCTTCTTTTCTACTTGCTATATACTTTGCTTCTGCGTGGTCGTCTTCCCTTTCCCCTTCCTTTACAAACAGTTATTGTGTGTCTGCAGGTCTCAAGCAAGGTTCATAACCAGCTGCTGCAGATTGCAGATGAACGTGCTCAGTCAGCAGAGCAGAAAGCCCTACAGCTTGAACGCCAAGTGAGCTGCATTTACTTAATAGAACTGGCAATATGTGCTAATGCTTTTCTTTTACTCTTTAGCTACTCAGTCTTCGCGACAAATATGGTCATCCTGAAACATCTCATCCTTCTACGTTTACTCGTCCGTCAACCTACACCTCCACACTTGGAGGATACCCTTCTTTCTCCTCCACCCTCCTCCCTCCCTACACATCATCTTCACCATACTCCCTGTCCACCTCACTCTCCACCCATCTCCCTCCCTCCATCTCCCTCGGGTTTTCGTAGCCTAAGTTTCTCCACACTATGTAAAGCAGACTGTTCAAAAGCTTAGGTAGCTAAAGTGTATCTTGGACGGGAAAACTTTCCTTCTACCTTACATTCAGGAAAGTTTTGCTCTTTCAGGTCTTCTCAAACCAAGTACAGTTCTTGGTAAAGGAGCTGGGAGTGGTAAACATGATGTCATGTGGGATCCAGTGGTGACATCATCATCATCATCCTCTGAACTAGGACAAGACACTATTGGAACTACTCTACCATCAGTTGAACTTCCTACACCTGAATTCTCTCTACCGCCTCATGATAGCAGTAGCAAAGGTATATACAAGTAGCATAATGTGCAGTGATCAGGTATTGTGTACTTTTCCAGCATCATGGGAATATGACAGTATGTACTTAGCTAAAGGCCAAATTTATACAAGTGTTAGGTAAGGTAAACTAAACAATAGGGCCCAGTGCAAGCTTCATATAATGTTTTCTACATATATTTAGCCATTATATACTGCCACGGTCACCTTGATTGTTTAGCTGAGGAAGTTAGTAATGCCTCAAGATTTGCCCACACCTTTGCAATACTTATGCCTTAGAAGAATACTATCTTGTGCTTTCACACTTTTTACCGACTGGTATAAAATAGGAGACAAGGAGTCATCAAGCAGTGATTGGTCCAGCAGTGACGAAGATGATGATGAAGGAGATGAAGCTCCTCTGCGTCCCTCCACCCACTCTGCACTCCAGGCTCAGTGGGAGTGGAGAACCATGGCTGACTCCCTTCCTGACAAGTGAAACTCCGTGACTTCTTATCCTTCCTCTTTGTTCTATGAGCTTTGACATGCCGAAATTCTGCATGATGTTTTAGTGGATTCATGAAGAATTGATCCATGATCCATGAATTAAAAGTGTAGTCATGTTATATGGGAGTGCCTAATAGAAGTGACTTTACATGTACATATGTTGCAAGAGCATCTTGGAGATTGATTTAAGCATTTTGAAGGTTTTTAGTACATCAAAAATTTGCATTATCTTGTCCTAGTAGTTCTCCAATGGCAACAGGCCACACCCCCAAGAAGAAGCCACCACCAATAGCTCCCAAGCCGAGAGTATCGTGGACTCACTCGTTACCCACTACTGACCTCAACTACCAACTGATAGAAGACCCTTCTTCCTTCTCTCAGGTAACTCACTCAATTATAATTATACCAGGTTATTTTCTTCTCCGATTTTGACTGATGCTTGTATCATTCAAACAACACCCAAAGAGCCACTTAAATTTGAGTATATAGCCAACAAAAAACAGTCCATATCCCAGTATTAATAATCATGCTGCTATCCCTATAATGGGCCTTATCATTGATTGATGAGTGAATGCGAGTGTGAAATTTCAGCTGTTTATCTGTGTTGCTTTTCAGTATTGGTGCACAATACTTCAGATATACTTAGAAAAAAATTTCACAATTCTGACAGGTAGGCTTGCTTTGCTTGCCAATCGTGTTAGATCATGCTCCAATTGGTGACAGACATGTTTCTCCATGCAGGCAACTCATGCCAGTGGGCTGACCTCTCTGACCTCCAGTTTTCCTAGACCCAGGGGACCACAGGGAAGAAATCTACCATCAAGACTCTACAAGTAGCTAATACTGCTATGTGTAGTATGATACTAAAATATCTGAATCTTTTCGCCAGACTCCATCATATCATTTTGACAAAGTTAAAATTGTGTGTTTAGTTTACAGTGTGCATTGCAAAGTAAACAAAAATGCTACATTCTCTGTAGGATTTCAACAATCTCAGAGTGACCGTTAGATCTGGCAATGTCAATGGGTCTGCGTCCCAACTGTAACAATAGTGTCATGATGATGTCATCGCGTAAATAAGAGTACTTCTATACCTTAGTCTGTATGTTGACCAGAGCCTGAGCTTCAGTCAGTAGTCTCACCACATCAACTTTGCCTTCTTGAGCTGCCAGGTGAAGAGCAGTCCAGCCATCCTGTGGACACAAACACACAGTCACCTCACCTAGTACAGCTGTATACAGTGACACTGTGTGTGATGATGTGTGTTTTCTGGTGGTAGGAACAGCATACCTCATCCTGTGTGTTGATCTGTGCCTTAGCCTCAATCAGTGTTTGTACAACATCAGTATGTCCCTCAAATGATGCTGTCATCAGTGGAGTCCAGCCATTCTAGAGTTATATCGTAAAGTCATAGAGACACATGGAGGATCTATGGAGCCACATTACCTCTTACAGATCCTGACATCAGCATGTTGTTCAAGAAGTAGTTTAACAACTGCTCCATGTCCTTTCCCACTGGCAATGTAGAGAGGAGTCATGCCATCCTGTACATGTATCAACACACATTATCATGAGAAATCCCTAGTAGAGACTTCAGAATGGACACATTCATACAATCATCACGGTGCTTGCTATTGCCATTTAATTGATTGATATATGTGTAACATCAATCATTAGAGATGACGTACCTTAAGTCTGGATGTTTGACCAAAGCCTGAGCTTCAGTCAGTAGTCGCACCACATCACTTTGCCTGTGTGAGCTGCCAGTTGAAGCTCATTCCGTGCCATCCTGTGGACACAAACACAACAGTCACCTCACCTATTACAGCTGTATACGTTACACTGTGTGTTATTCTGTGTGTTTTCTGTGGTAGGACACATATAAAACCCATCTTCCGGGTGTTGATCTGTGCCTTGCCTCATCATTGTGTGTACAACTCAGTATGTCCATAGAGTGATGCTTTCATTAGTGGAGTCCTGCCTCTCTGAGTAATAATTCGAAAGTCATAGAAACCATGGATGATCCCATGGAGCAACGAAACATTACCTTCTACATATACCTGATATCAGCATGTTGTTGAAGTAGTAAATGAACACTTCTCCATGTCCTCCTCACTGCAATTAGAGGAGTCATGCCAATCCTGTACATGTATCAACACACATTTCCATTAGAAATCCTATTAAGCTTCAATGGACCACATTCATAACTCATCACTGTGCTAAATTGCACACTTAATTGATTGATTATGAGGTTACATCAATCATTTAGATGACGTACCTCGTCTGTATGTTGCCTCAGAGCCTGAAGCTTCATCAGTATTCTCACCACAATCACTTTGCCCTTTTTGAGCTGCCGAGTGAATAGCATCCTGCCATCCTGTGGAACACAAAACACACCGTCCACCTCACCTAGTACAGCTGTATACGTGGACAC